TGTAATGGTTTCATAATGATCAGCTGTCTGTCAGGGGTGACTTACATAATTCAAAATTTCATCTCTTATGGATAGCAGAACCAGAAATAATGCCATCTTCCTACCACGTCATCACCGATGATAATTGTGTTTACACACATGGTTGTGCTTGGGGAGAGAGAGCAAAACTGGCCTGAAACACTGAAGCTGTTTGGAAGCTCTGCCCCAGATGTTGCCCTAAACTCTCTGGTCTGTAAGTCCATGTAAAGTAAGTTTTGCAAAGTTACTTAACAGGAAAGCTTACTGTGGCTCTTGAATAAAATGCATTCTGATTTTTTCATTATGAGCACAGTAGAGAGTAAGTGCATAAATATTGTACCTCAACGGCTAGATATTCTTGACAGTTTTGGAGTTTTTCTGTACTAATACAAATTGCATGCATTCGGCTTGACTAAGATTCAACGAATGGAAAGCAGAAATTATTGTGTTTTTTAAGGAAAGTTGAAGTCGGTAGCACTTGTTTATATTCTATCTCCGTTTTTTCAATTAAACTTAAGTGAATCTGAAGTAGCTAGATTTCGTCTAAATCCACACAGCTGAGGAAACCTGTGCTCGCTCTTTCTCTGAATTTTCACTGAGGGGCTTTTATCTCCCCCTAATCCCACCGTTTCTGTCAGGACATAATCTCTTTCTCAAATTTACATTTTAATTACAAGGCCAGCTGAACTAGCTAAAATCAATAATGTCAGCATTCAGCAGCCTAACTTCAGCTGAAACCCCAGCCTCTCTCTTTCCTTCTATCGATTTGTCTTGTGAACACGGTCTACTTTATTGCTTCAGGCAAATAGGTGCCATTTGGTCAATTTAAACAAAAAAGGGGATTTGAACATTTTTATGATTCTTTCTAACAGCTGCTATTGGAACAATTTGAGCCCAGGTACTGTACTCGCATTAAAGAAAATGCACAGAGCAGCAGAATTCTTAAGAGGAATTTTACTTTGAAAACCACACTTAATCCCACCTGTGTCTTAAAAAACAAAACAAAACCCACCCTGACATTGGATGCCATTCTGATAGCTGTGTCTGTGTGGTGACTCTATCTGGTTAGCAAGAACTAATTTTATAAACAGAGACTTAAAAAAAAAACAACACAGACAGTAGAGGTGATGTAGCAAGGTATTTACTTTTAGCCATTTTTCTGTTAATGGTTTAAAATAAGAAATCAATGGAAAAAATAGTTTTTCTTGTAACTCTTAAGAATTCCTGTATTGATCTTTTGAATGTGATTTTATCTGTCTAAATGTCACATTGTCCGTTTATCTCGTTTCTATGTTGCTGAGTGCTTGTCTATGCTGTGCTCCTCCTCTCTCCCCCCAAACAAAATCAGTGTAGTGTATGAGCAATCATGCTTTCCATAAACATCATAGATTTTTTTTTTTAATAAAACGAGGATTTTCTGAGAATTTTTGTCACATATGCACATATTCTCTCTGAAGGAGTGATGAAGGTGTGGTGAGAGATGTATAGCTGCTTTTTTTTTTTTTAATTATTTAAAGGCAATTTGCAAAAGGTACACAACGCAAGTGCTCTCAAAACATTTGCTTTGAACAGCTCTTTTCAGAAAGGTATTATTGTTTTTAAAAACAGAACAAAAAACATTTAAATGCTAAATGTTTAATATGCAAATACAGTCCAAGCATTACAGGTACGGTATGTCACATTTTACTCAGCTAACCTTGTTGTCGCCAAAGGCTCTGTTTGCTTGTAACTATTCCTAACATAAAAGGAAGCTTGCTCATCTAAATCCTGATGCTTTGAATTTATAACAAAATACTTCAAGTTAATTCTGTTTCACTTCTGTTTCACAGAGCACCTTAGAAGGGCTTCTTCCCTTTCTATGGAAACGAAAGAAGCTGAGGTGCAGTCCCGCTTACCATAGATAAATTCAGAGTTATTCCCTTCAGTGAATTACTAACTACTGTTACAAAACACTTTTATGGGGGCACCATTATACCTCCTGAATGGCAAGTCCACAGCTGAATAAATTGCATGAGATCATTTCTTTTGCTGTTTATCCTAGATATTCCTCTGCTTATGCTATTATCTTAGATATTAGATATATCTAATATCCTAGATATTCCTCTGCTATTATGCTTAATTATAATTTGTTATTACTGGTCCTTCTGCTAATTTTGAGGCTGTTTTCTAATGTATCGATTACTCTTTTAAATGATTTAAAAAAAAAGAAAAAACAACGCGATGTTCTTCAAAGGCTTGTTGACTTTAGGAATCGAAGTTAGACAACAAGGTGAATGTGACGTTCTCACTTTCATTAGAGAAGATGATGTGGGCATAGCTGAGTAAGAGTCTCTGTGAGTTCTTATTGACTGCTGGGTGGCTAGTGCTCTTTTATCCTCTTCTCTGAGTCCTGCTTGCTTCTTTCTCTTGTCTTGAAAGGAAAGGTAAGCCATCTGCCACAGTTGTTACTGACCTCTGCCCTGCATCACCTGTTCTTAAAACGTTTTCCTTTGCTGTGACTAGCATAAACCGTACTGGGGAGAGACGTTTGTGGTCAGTGGTCTTGGAAGAGCCCTCACCTTGAGAGTATTCGGCGTCTGTCTTCTTTCTGGAATCAGTTGTATTCAGAAGATCTGGGAACGACTGAAGTGAGCATTTGCTGTATACAGCAAAGTTGAAAGGCTACACATATGCAAGCCAGATCCAGTTGGATGTCTTCTTCTCTTTACCCCCTCTTTATTAGGAGCTTCAGCTTTGTGGAGGTTGAATTGGAATTGTTGGCTCCCTGCAGAGAGAGGATGTCCATGGGCCGTGTAAATCAGGGAGCTGACAAGGCTTCCTTCTATGCCCTGAGCTTGGAGCCTTCAGAAAGGAGGAGGAGATGTCATTCCCTGCATAAGGACACACCTCCTGATTTAGGTACTTGGAAAGTATCAGCTCATTTTTACCTAGGGGGAAGATCTAGAAGGTCACCAGCTCACCAGTGTAACCTGTAGCTGGAGTCAGGCAATGCCATCTGCATTGTTGTACCCCACAGATTATAGGGAATGTGTGGTGCAGATGAATCCAGGTCAGGATGGTGCACGTGAATCGGGATTGGCAGACCTTGTAAGGTGGAAAGAGTGGGGTCAGGGCTGGGAAGATAGATGTTGTGTTCAGTGTTTCTTGTGTGTGGGCAGTGTTGGATGCACTGCTTGCATTGTAAGAGCTCCCAGTGCGGGTGCAGATGACGTGTGGCAGCCTGGGAGGCTTGCCCAGGACATAAAGGACAATTTCCGACCCTGTGCTGTCATCACACTCGAGGCTCATTGAAGACTTTTGTCTGATGGTTTCTATTTGCAGAACAGAATTTGCTGCAGAACAGAATTTGCTGCCTGTGTTTTGCAGATGTTTAGATTTCTGCTTGTCCTCAAAAGCTTGCTACGTTTTAAATGTATATGATTTAGTCTTTAGTTATGAAATGCTTAGTTAGTGACTTAAATAAAGTACAGAGTGCGCTCAATGAGAACTTTGTAGATATCAAAGAAGGGAAAGACAGCATGCAATAGACCTTAGATATCTTCTGGGACATATTTTGATGTACGTCTATATGGTCTCTATAAAATCATGTTGATCTAATTTTATCTTTGTAAATATTTTTGCACCAGAGCTACCTGCCACTGCTGGTCCTGCAATTTGTCACTTAGTGGTCAGGTCACAGATACCACATCAACGTTTCTGGTTGATATCTTGTGATACAATTAATAACTAACAAAACAAATTATCCAAACAAGAATACGTCAGGATACAGCTTCAGGGTTGGGGGACTCTTGCTTCAGGATTGTCTAGAAGGGGGCAAGAGATGGAAGGAAAGTCCCAATTTAATAACAGCTAAAACATGTCAGGTAAACACAGGTTGCTTTTGGTAAGAAAGCTGAGAATATTTGCTGAAAATTTTAGTCGTGTGAAATTGTGATTTTTTTGTTGATATTTTTTGGGTGGGTGGCATTTCAACCAATTCTTTAATGAAAAAGCTTTTTGGAGGAGAAGATGCTATTATGTCTGTGGGGGATCACGTCTCTCCCATTTTAGCTGTCGTTGGCTGAAAAGTTCTTGTAACTACTGCCAGCTAATGGAGTTCTCCAGCTCAGCTGGTAGGGTAGAGGCATGTGCTGTCTGACTGCTTGGTCTATCTAATTGCATCATTACAGTCCATGCTGACGGTCTAATCAAGCTGTATAAATTAATTAACTTGGCCCACCACTGAGCTGCTGCTGCTGTACTTCTGTGCCTGGTACTGCCTTGCACTGTGGGCTTGTTCCTCAGGTGTCATTCACCCATTTACTGTCTCTTCAGAGTTCCCTGTGGCTACACCACTGTGGTGCTCAGATATTTTATCTTGGTGAATTGTATGTTTTACTGTCTGAAAGAAGAATGTTCTGTTTATGAAACAGATAGTTCTGTTTGAGGTTGCATTTAGGAATTGAAACTGAACTATTGTCAGTGGTGCCTCTTAACAACAGGAAAAAATAAATATTTGGTTTCACAGTTTCAGCTCTGAAGGGTGAGTATGGTAACCAAGAATCAACAAAGCACAGGGATGTGCCTCACACGCAGTTTTTCCACCAGGTGTGCTTCTGTGCCAGCTGTGCTGTGCGGTGATGGTTCCCATTCTAGAAACTTGAATACAAAATGCATGGTCACAGTTTAGGCAAATGTGTATTGTTAAAGTTTTGTTCTTCCCAAGATGAAGCATGATCACTCTTTGTTGTCACACCATGTCATAAAAATTTACAAGTTGATTTGCTGTAGGTAGTTACTCAGTATGTTTCTGTTCAAAAATAAGAAAAAATTCAGAGATAGAAATACCACTCTGTCTGTGAGTGGGATTGATGTCTAACGCAAATTGCAAAGACAGCTTTCTGTATGTAGTGAGCATTCTGAGCTGCTTTGGCCCTGCTGTGAAGCATTAAGGGCAGGGGAAGTAAACCTCAAGCAAAACTCAACGCTGGGTTCTTTTGCAGGGCTAGAGCCTCAGTCACCCCCAAAAGCACCAGCGAGGAAGACACCAGCAGGACCAGCTCCAGCCAGCTCCCGAGCCCAGCTGAAAGGGAATGAAGATGAACTGGACCCAACCTGTGCAGCTGCAACACTGAAACTCATCAGAGACAAACTACCGAAGTTAACACCTCCTCATGCCAGGTTATTTTCATTTTAATTCTTATGATTTGTAGAAACCTCTTGCTCTTACTTGTGTTTATTAGTCACAAAAAAAATACAGAAAAGTACTCCTGGACTGGGCAAGCTAAGGTTTAGTCTATCTTGTTCACGTTTTAAAGTTACATTTATCTTACTTCGGGGGTTTGTTAGTGATTGCAGTAGGCCCTTAAGGACTCTTTAATAATCACTTGATTTAGGTTTGATTTGTGTAAGTGGCCTCTGTGAAAAGATAAAACATTATCCCTTCTCCTAACCAACAAAGCCAGCCCCATTTATTGGGGGATTTTTCAGTTTGCAGCTAAACAGAACATGTCTTATGCTAAGTTAGAAAGTAGTTTCAGAAGTCTCTTGTTCCTAGTGACTTAAGCTATCTATCAATGCTGTTTGGAGGCATGTTCTACTGATTCCAAAGACGTATTTGTTGTCAATCCTATTCAAAGCTTGGTGAAATTCTAATCTTGTTTAACATCTATCTGTGAGTCTCTGGGGAATAAGTCTGGAGTAATCTACTTAGTGGTGTGTTCCTAAAAAGACACTTCTGTGTTGTCCGAAAGAAGACACTTTGGGAAAGCCCTCAAAACCTAGCAAACTGGAATGTGATCTCAGAAAGAGAAAGGGGTTTACTTCATTAGAACTCCAGAATTTGGAATAACCAGGTATACATTTTGAAAAAATTTACGTTTTTTTTTACATTAGTAAAATTAAAGCTAATTTTTAAAAAGTTAATGTTTCAGCTTCATGATGCACTGTGTTATGCTTACAGTGTGTGATTTTACAGTCTGTAGCCTTTGGGGTGTGGGGGAAAAAAAAAAGACAACCCTGAAAAGGTAGTTGTAGTCCTAGATCTAAGCTAATATTCGTGGTATGAAAAACTAATGTAAACAGAAAAAGTTGTAATTGTGGTTGTTCTCTATTGACTCTTCATCATTTTTCTCCAGCGAGTCTGCATCTACTGAGCCAGCAGCTTCAGAAGAGCCTGACAGTAAGAGAAGAAAACTAGAAGAGGAAAGAGCTAAAGCTCCCCTCATGCCTTTTGGGTTAGATCTTCACTACTGGGGACAGGATCAGCCAAGCGCTGGGAAGATTCTCAAGTAAATGCTCTTTTTCTTTTAAGACAAATTAAACAAATACACAGATTTACTTTTACTCAGAGGTCATGCAGTGGGGTGACTGCTATTTCTTTTGATAATTACTTTTTTTCTTTTCTTTGTGTTGTAGGACCCATAATCAAAGTCAGAAATTCTACCTTAAAGTGGTATTTGTTTTGAGAAGATGTGGTACTAATTAAATGTCCTTTGATACTTCAAAGCACATTTTTTCTGCTCTTTTCATGTTTGTGTATTATTTGCAGTATGGCAGCACTTAGTCCAATTTAAAGCAGTACCTGATTCTGTAAAGTACTGTGCAAGTCCATGATAGACAGTCCCCTCTGCTGGAGGCTTCACAGTCTAAATAAATAACAGACAAGGTAGGAGAAAGACCAGGGAGGTGTCATGGATATTTTTCCCGACTTTACAGAGTGGTGACTGAGGAAATTGATATGCTTGTTCAGTCACAGAAGAGGAGGTGGCAGTTACAGGATTTGCATTTCAATCTCTCACTTCCCATTTTTGTCTGGGAAGGTTCTGTGTTTCTTGGAGATGAAGCATTGCTGGTTTGGGGAAAGCTGGTTGGGGAGAATAGATTAGAGGTATACAATCACAACTTGTTTCTGGCAGTTTGTTTTTAAAGTCCATTTTTTAGTACTAGCATTTTTGTATGAAAGTTGGGTTGCAAAATCTTTCCTATGTATATAAATTCCATACAAGTCCACCAGAAACTTAGTATCAGTGTGTACCATACTTGGCTTGAATAATGCAAAAATCATTGTCTGGCTGAGTTGCAAATCAAATTTATATATTCTCAGCAGTATTACTTTAACTTAGTTTGTTTTCTTACTAACACAAATCAAATAAAAACCCCATACTCATTATATGGGCTGGAGTAATGCTGTGCAAAAACCAAGCAAACAAAAAAAAACAACACAGCAATGGTGCTTCAGTGTGAAACCAAGGGGTTCACTTCATCATCGTCTCCACATTTTGACACAGAGGAATTTAGATTTTCATGACAAGATCTTCTGCCCTGCCTTATGACATGCAAATTTTTTATTCCTCACTTCATGTCTTCACAGTAGCTAGGTGTATTTCCACACTTTGGAAATGAGCCTAATTTGCTGATTTTCAGTGCATTTTTAAGATAATACCCCCTCGATTCCATCGGTTAGATTGGTTTGGGTACATTTCACTCTACCTTAATTTAACTATAAAGAGACAGTGTTTGCAGAAAGGAACAAGGGCAAAACTTTTCACCAGTTCTTGATTGTATAAAATGCTGAATATGTTTTAAATTATTGAAAACAAGTGAAATTTGATACATAACAGTGCTTTAGCACAGATACTCCAAGCTTTGGGCTCTGTCTGGTGAGGTGTAAGTTCTTCAAAGACTGGTTACGATTTTCAGCAAGGCTTTAAGAAGCATTTGTCTGTGCTAATGCCAAAAAGGTAGTAAGGCTTTATTTTACATTGCAAATGAGTTATTCAAGTCATAAGTAAAATCAGAAGCATATTTCACTGCCTGTCTGCCTTGTGCTGTACTGTTTTATTTTTATGCTTCCCATTAAAATAGAGGGCACACTTCTGAACCTTATGGTCTATAACTGCAGATATGCCAATCTAACCAAAGATAATTTAAGTAACTGTGCACACACAATACCATTGACCCCTGGGTATAAAATGTATTTATTGAAAAATTAAGATAGTCATTGACCAACTCTTTTAACTTTTCTATATGCACACATACTATCTTATGGAGATGCCTAGAAACAAAACAAAAACAAACAAACAAAAAATATAAAATAATGGAGTGTGTATGGAATTTGCATTTTTAAAATCTGAAATGGAAAAGTCTTTCCCCTTCACCTATTTAACACTATGCCTCCCAACAGCATGTATAAGAAAGTCGGATTTTAAAATGTTGATAGTGAGACTGGCTATCGGGAAGATTGTTTTTCAAAGAATTTTTCTTCAGCTGGTGTGAGTAGGAGTGAGATGTTGGGCTTCTGGCTGCTCATCTGTTCCCCTATTCATGCCTCTTATGAAAAGATTTTATTTGTCACATACATCTTTTTTCAAACAAAAATCTGCCTTTTCAGAGCATTGCACCATGAGATCCTTACTTCCCTTCTTTCCCATTCCCTGTGTCTTTTGACACTGTACTAATCTTTACAGTAGAATAATGAAGAGTTTATTTGCCTATATATGTCTGTAAATGTAGGTAAGGTTCTCTAATTTTAAAATAGATTTTCAATGGACTAGCTTAATTTCCTGGAGGAACACCTCATAAATTTCTCAGAGTTATTAATATGATATAGAAGAACAGCCCATGGAACCTAGAAGAAAAAAATTCTGTAAGACTCGGCAGAGAGTTTGCTCTTTTCCTGGGTATCAAAATATTGCCACATGCTCTGATTTCAGCTTCTGCTTCTCTGCTGCTACAGGAGTACAGCTGTCAGGAATAAGATCAGGCAAGTTAAGATCAAGCTGTTTCCTCCCTGATCTATCTTCCGTGATTCACAGTAGAAGTATTTTTTTATGAAGAACATTAATGCAGAATTGCAAAATTATTTACTGAAGCTGGGTATTGGATAACTGATTCTCAATGCCAAGTCACCAGCTAGGGCTAAGACTGGTAGAAGGTGAGCAGATTGAACAAGAAGTTGACGCTAGTCAGGCTTTGATAATATTTTAAAAAACATCATCATCATAAGGCAACCTTAAGAAAGAAAGGGAGTCTTAAAAAAGAGTGGTAGATTTTTTTTTTTCTACCTTGCTGATAAAGCTTCCCCTCCTTTTACATGCAGGTTTACCACAGGATTGTGCTGACTCCTTTATGTGCTTTCTACATGCTGAACTTGTGTCTGATGCAGGTGGCTCAGTGAGCCTGGACAGGAAAGGCACAACATTTCTATAGACAAATACATTCTTTATTGTTTTCCCAGATTTTCTTCTGAGCATCGATTTTGGGCACCCAGTGAAGTAGAGGAAGAAGTGGAAAATAACGAAATAGCTGAAATGTTAAAAACTAGATATATAACATTTGCTGGCAAGTTTGAACCAGTGAAGCATAAATGTCGAGCACCAATGCCTAATGGAAGTCTGTGCGAAAGACAAGATCGGATTAAGGTGGGCACCGAGTAACAGAACTTCCAGGATATGTGCTGTGTGGAGAGGATGTCATTAAAACATACCTACAAACATTAGTTTTGCACTATAAATATGGCTCAAGGGATTGAATGAAAGTTGTTTCTGGAGAAGTTTGCTGTTCCTGTGTGTTTCGCATAGGAAGCATCCTTTCTGTAATAAAATTGTAGACATTTACAGAGCTCTCAAATATTTCTGGCATTCATTGTAGGTATTTATATTATATTTATTATTGTTATATTTAAGTACCTTACAGTGGAAGCAGTGACAGTTTGTTGCTTACAAATTTTCCTTGTTTGGAGCATATTTGACATTAACAGTTTTTAGAAACATGAGTGTTTGGGGGGCAAAGAGATTTTATTTACAAATTAGATTTTATGAAAGCTAAATCCTGTACAACTTCAAAGCATGAGCTCTACTGAGGAGAGATCCTTTGTGTAAATACTTCGTTCTAATATCTCTGTTCTTCCTGTATTTGAGATTGAAGGATCTGAATGCACTAAAGTACTTCAGATGGGTTTGTTATGTGATAAGGATGTAATGTAGACAACAAATACGATGTAGGATGAGCACCCTTGTTCCAGACATGACAGGTTGTGCTACCTGTTCTCTTGAAACCAAATATTCATATCACAAAGAGATTGTTTCCTTGAGATTCAGAATGTATTCAACACATGATGCTTATGGAATCCTGATGCCTTCTAAGGAGGACTGGGGTTCAGATGTATAGTTTTATGACTTGATTCCAGGCATAAGCTATGCTGGATAATATGTAAACATCTTCTTTTTATTCAGAAGTTTTGAGATTTTTTTCCCTTTCTTTGTGCAGTGCCCTTTCCACGGAAAGATAATTCCTCGGGATGAGCGTGGGATTCCTGTTAATGCAGAGGACAGAGACAGAGAAGAAAAGATGCGGTTTGAGAAGCAAGCAGCTCAGCCAGGTTTGTGTCTCCATAGCATCTGAAAACAATGTCAAAATATTAGATAGAGGTGGGAGCTAAACATATTGGGCTTTTTTCAAAGATTATTTTACATGTGCTTACATGTACTGTATAAAATATTTACAATATCTACAATATATTTGCATATTTATATTACATTATTTACAGTATCTACAATATCTACAGTTGGACAACAATATCAGTACACAGTTGGACATCAAATGAGAGGTTATATGGAAGAAAACCTAATTCTTTTGTTAAAAAGGCACAGGTTGAGATCCACAGAACTGGATCATATTTCTGTTTTGCTCCTAGCTCCGTTCTCTCATTTAAATTCTAGTTGATTTTAATTTTCAGATCATTTGCAATGATTCTTGCTTATCTCCTAAGTATGGATGAATGTACACACAGAGTAAGGTTAACTTTACGTTGTTCTTTATTTTCTGTAGTTCTCATAATGTTCCTAACACTTCTCAAGCAGACGAATTATTTTCTTTATCACAAGAAACATGTATACTGAAGACAATTAAGCCTATTTCCTGGGAGATGCTTGGCTGTAACTATTCCCACACCTTGGCAAAATAAGTTGTCTAACTTCTCTGGTCCCTAACAGTTGTAGTTTATGTGATGAAATTTTAATATTATTAGGACTACTCCAAATATTGGCAGAGTGTTTTTGTTGTCACAATGCAGGCATTTATTTTTCTTATATCTTCTCATTTGTATTTACATGTATTTTAGAAGGAGAATTCTTGTCCTTCTAACGCTTTCTTTATGTGCTGTGCTACAAAATACTCTGACTCAGGGAAGCGCTTACCTAGAACTCTGTTGGCATTTTATCTAGTCTGGTAGCAGATCCAGTATTTGGAATGGGCTTGAGGAAGGCAGCAAAAGAACCTGTGCTATTTAATTGTTTACTGTTTAATACACAATATTCTATTTTGTTCTTGAACAATGGGGATGGACAACTAAACTAATGGTCTGAACCTTGTATTCTGGCTACTGCGTTCAGGTAGGATGCTCTGAAGGGAAGACCTGTCATTCCCCAAGATAATTGTATCATTTTTAGGTGAGATAAAGCTCTGGACTGTTAGGTAAGCAATGCAGGCAATGAGAAGGGCAGCAACCAATGAATACACAGGCAAGAAGACTTCCAAGGAGACTAAGGGACTTCTTTTTTTCAGTACAACTAAACCCCATTAGCAATAGACAGAAGGTAGATTTTCATATATCCCCAAGAGGATACCTAGAATGAAGCAAAACGACGTTGATGCACTACAAGGGAAGATGGGAGAGAGGGATCTATCCAGCAAGACATAGTGTATAGCTGGAGGGAACAGATTTGTTTTCAGAGGTGTTATTTACTCTGCCTTCCCCAGGTGTTAGTTTTCTCTGTTTAAAACTAGTCTAGGTGAGTACTCTGCATTCTAATTAAACTTACCCTTAGGCTTTATCACTTTGATACCTTGCAGTATGGTCCCTTAAGAAGAGAGTTGGTTATTTCTCTCTTAAGCTCTGGCTGACTTCTCACCAGTTTCATAATTATGTATATTATGAGTGAGGCTACTGAGTTTTTCACAAAAAATGTGCATAAAGAACAGTAATTGATCTATTATCCAAAAAGGTCGGTGATGAATAAAGGTGCATTTAAACATATAATCAATCCAGCCAGTTTCCTGTGATAGAGGTTCAAGTGACAGTGCTTAGGCATTACCAGCACCCCACGAAAGCAGCAGTCACTGAACACCTTTTGGTGTCCCCAAGTGTCAAGAAGTGCTGCGTTCACAGGCAGTTTCCATCATTTTCCAAGTAGAGTGAAGTGCTGTAAGCTGGTTTCCAGCCAACAGTGGAAATACAGGAAATGTTGAACAGTGAAGACAGGCCAGGGGCGGGGAAGTTGTGCTACAAAGGAAAGTTCCCAACTCAGTTGTGACGAACTAAACCCACCAAATTAAGCTATGAGGTGTTCTTGAGGGACTAGTTTCAAACTGGAAACCAATACTTTGGTATAAAAATCACTTGCGCTGAAAAATATTGATTTTTTTATTTATTCTGTGAAATTGCCATTGCTCGAGGCTAGACATAATACTTATTTTTATTACAGTGTCAGCACGGTGTTGTTAGAGGCTTCTCACCTCTGGCCCACAAGGATGTGTGTGTTAGTCCCAAACCAGTGTTGACATTGCTGTGTTGCATTATTGAGTGCCGTCGTTAAGCTGAGATGTCACACAAAGGTCCATCCTGGCTGTCTGGGGAGATACTGAGCAGGCTACAGCACTTAATTTATTGGACAAAACCTTCAAGGTTTCTAAAGCCATATATACACCAGATGTCACTGAATACTTTTATCCACTGCTTTTGTTTCTTTCTTTTCTTCCTGTGCCTTGGATTTTTTATATTTATTTTATAATATTTTCAGTAACCTTTTCAAACGTGTTTTTTTTTTTTTTTTTGGTTGGTTGGTTTGGGTTTGTGGTTTGGGGAGTGGAGGGAGGGTTATTTTTTTGTTGTTTTTTTTTTTTAGCTTAGACTTGAACAAAGTGCTGCTGTGGAAAATGTACAAGTAGAGAACCACAGTAAGTGCTTTGATCATATGATTGAAAACATCATTTGCTAATGATGACAGCTTGAAAAATGCCAAACATTAAAACTGGGAGATCAGTTTTGTAATTAAATTCCACAAACATTCTTCCTATGTCTTTTTCCTATTGGACAGTAGGTTAATTTTATCCTTAAATGGTTGAAGAGGAAAACAATTCTGTAAAAGTAACACAGTTTGTGTGATAAGGCCTTGTGTTTTGACAACACTGTCACTGATATTATGAAGCATTTTTCAACTTAGTGTATAAAATTTTGAATCCTAGCTAATGTCCACAAAATGGTGCTTTGGGCTCTTTGGTCCTGAAACAATGAATCATAAGGGATTAAGCTGACCTGCTAATCTGCACTGTTCATCCTTTTCCAATAGTTCGCACACAGGAGCAAATTAAGTGCCTATTTTTTGTGTCAACCCTGAAGAGTATCTGGTTTTTCAGCCCTTAGTGACTTGTTAACAAACAGGTATCAGGACAGGCTGGTGAAGGCAGGCCGCTGGCCAGTCAGATGTGAAATAGCATCTCTTTACTAACTACAGTATTGATTCCCGCCTACCCTTGCAAACTGTGTAATTTTCTTTTCCCTGCTGCTAAACTCAGTAACAATGTATGAAGAGCTTTAGGGGCCCATCAATGCTCAAAAAGGCTGCTCTTCCCTGGCATTCTATTGATTTTTCTCAAAGGCTTTTAAATTGCTCCTTCATTTTACTCAAATGCTCATTTCATCTCTACTGGATGCCGGCATTTTTTCGTTGTGTTTAAACAATTGCTCCATTCACTGGGTTCCTAAACTGTGACGCCTTCTTATTACTGGGAGATAAACTGTTTAGACAGTTTTCCTTAATCTTGGATTAATCGTTCCTGTATCTGAATTGTGCTGTTCTGTATTCCTTCACCTCCAAAAAAAAAAAAAAAAAGACACCAAAAGAACCCACCTCTTGAAGTCTCATGATCTATCAAGTATATGTGCTCTATTTTCTCCCTCTATACATTTCCTGCTCAGTTCCTATGTAACTCCATTTTCGTCATTTTTTTTTCCTGTGTTGGATTTTAACCTGTCTTTGCTTTCGCATATCATACTAGTAAGTTACATCTAACTGTTCCTTGGAAAATTGCTCTGGGATTCCTAAACACCGTGTTCTTAAGTGCCTCTGACCTTCTTGAAATGTTGTTACTGATATTTGTTACGCTCACTGACCAGCTTGGTGCAGAAGTGAAGTTGTATTGTCATTTAGCACCGCATATTCTCCCATATCTGCATAGATTTTAAATAAGAGAAGTTTGGTGTTTCAGTTTCTGCAGGCAGCAAAGTCAGGCTGACATACGTGAAGCTCTATGACAAATGACTGGCAATTAGTGGTTATTAAAAGGAGGAATTCTGAAATTGATGCTGAATTTGGACAGTGTTACTCTCAAACCATGTGCTCAAAAATGTTTAAAATGTGGAACCATTTTCTTAAGTTTGCATAGGTCAATTTTCCTACGTGAAGATATCTGTCCTTTAGGCACATTTTTTGCTTATTTCTACTTTTATTTTTCATTCTTCTTGTTCTGCTGTGCAAGACACAATACTAATGATGAAAGATGACTGCTTCCTTGAAATTACAGTCTAAATCATTTATGCTTATTCCCATGGTAGCAACTGTGATCAGACTCCACTCGCGGTGGGTGGTTGGATTCTGAAGCATTGAGAATTTGATAAAACCATAAAACAAGTTTGTGAAGAGAGAAATTTGCTTGTGCTATTGTCAAAAGAAAAACAAAAAGCAGTTTTACTTAGATAATTAAGCTGATGAAGTGTGGAATACTTTGAAAGAATGATCAAATGTAAAATTGAGCTTATGGCAACAGGGTTATTTTTGTCATATTCGAGAATGCTTTTAAAATATCAGATGAAGAAATGTTAAAATATCATCACCCCGCTCTACTCTAAAATTGACAAATTCCGTATTTTTTAATCTTATTCAGAATTTATTTCTGGAGGTCAGTACCACAGCTACCTTGTTGGCACTTTGCTCAGTTTCTAACCGATGATTGCTGTGTTTATGTCATGCATGGAATAGCTTCCTCGAAATCTTGCTACTGTGCTGCTGTAAGAGCTTGTCTTTATACAGAACAGTTTTGTCTACAGCAGCTAGTAGATACCAATCCCAGCCTGGCAGGGCTTTTTCATCAAGGTCTGTGGTTTTGACTAATTGCCTTATCCTCCCTCCTTTTGTGTATGCAATTTACAGCACACTGACTGTTGTTGATTGGTAGTGGCAAGAACTTTTACCTTAGGAGATCGCACATTCTTCTTAATCTTGAAGTTTCAAAGTGCATGGTTTTTTTTTCTTTTAAACAGAGTGGCGAGATCCAGAATTCATGAGAGAAGTTGAAGCAGCTACAGGAGTGGATCTCAGTTCCTCTAAAAATGATGGGAAAGGAGGGAAAAAGAAAGGGAAGAGGAAAAAATACCCCAATCTGACAGACCTGAAGCAGCAGGCCAACACTTCTCGTTCACGGCTTGAGAAGAAAGTCTTGAATAAGTAAGATATTTACCTTTTCTAATGTCTGCTAAATTGTTGTTTCTCTTTGTTACAGCAGTGTTTTCCCTTTCTACATTAACATGCGCTTAGCAAACAGCTTTCTTTGCCAATGGCAGAGCACAAATGCCTTTCATGTCTCCGGAGGGCAGAAACTAGCAGGTAGTGATGACCAGGGTTATTTCTTAGAAGTTGATTTGCAACTAATTCAGAAAGTTTTCCTTTTTGGCCCATCACTCATCTTTTTAAAAACCTGTAATTGCTGTAATGGTTTCTTTGGACGATCATTTGTTAACCAGATGGATGCTACTCTGTGTGTGCAGAAAGTACTGAATCTGAAAAGAAAATGAAGTGTTCAGAGTGACACAACTTATGGCACCAGACACACACTGGAGTAGTGTAGATGAAATGAAAGTGAAGGGTTTTTCCTTTTGAAAGCCCAAGGTGAGCTGTCCTGAGCAGTACTTTAACAAAAGCATCTGTCAAAAACCCTTGGCAGTTGCCCTCAAGCCTCTGGTGTATGTTCAGAGACATTCCCAAACTTTTTACTGCCACTTCGGCTTCTTTGCTCCTGTATATTTTTCCTCACACTGGTATATACAAAACTTGTGGCCAGGTGTGATGCACCACTTTCCAGTCCACACCACAACTCTTTTCATGTGTTACTCAGACATGCTGCCAGTGCATTTTCTTCTCCTTTGCTGAGAAGTGCATTAAGAAAGATATTTGAATCCTTGTGTTAGGCTCCTTTTTCACTTAACCTTTACCATCCCTTGTTAATACCGGGGGAGGGGAACGGGCTGCACATATCTTCTCTTTTCAGTGGAAGAGTTTGGAGATGAATGCTACTTGTACCAGAGACTTGCAGACATGGTGTTGTTCTCAGGATGGTGCTGTTCCTGTATTTCTTCCTTTCCTCCTAGCACATGTGCAAAGAGTAGCTCCAGGCCTTCATTTAGCCAGAAAGCAAACTATTTGGGCTGCAAAGCAGCAACACTCAGAAACGTTACGATCATAAAATAATCATAACTTCCACATATTGAAGTCTAAACATGAATGCACCCAAGGTCATTTATGCACCCTTACCTTTATTTTTAAAAAATGTAACCAATAGCTACTTATTTGTAAGAAAGCTTGGCTTCTCTGAGATGCAGTTTAATGAATTAATAGTTCAGTGACCTAAACGTTCTCACAATTTCACCTTGATAGTTATGCAACTTCCTAGCTCAAGGTAAAGAGAGTTCTGAAAGTCCAGGTAGTCTGTTAGTAATGTAGTTCTGTTGAAGCAAGAATATTGCAGAAAAGTAAAGTAACACAGGGTTGCTACTGTAAGCACGGCACCAAAGTGGCTTGCAACATGTCTGCCTCTCTCATCATAGGCTTGTGAATGTGGTGTTTAAGTTCCAGAAGTTTTAAAACTTAAGTTTTAAAAATCCAGAAGTTGTCAGCCAGCTCTCTACCCCAAAATCTACAGTGGTACAAAACATGAACCTGCATTGCTAAAATGCTTCAAGCCACTGTTATTTGGGGATTATTAGTTTGAGGTAACTTGAGTATCTGCAGTAAATATGGGCATTGTAGAAACCTGTTGACTTTTTTTTTTTATTACTCTACAGAAGAAATTACTTTTTTTTCCTTTCTGAAACAGACTTTACTTCTAGAAAACTTTCTCATGCCATCCTGATGGACACTCAATGAATTTAGAAATTTCAGACAGGTGTCTGTAACTTAGGTAAACAGATGAGAACTTTAAAGGAAGTAAACTAGCTCGGATGCAAGTGGGATTTTACAATCCCCCTGCCCCCAGGCTGAATGGATTTTAGAACATCCATAGCACTATATGTCCACTCTGTTATGCCATTTCTTATATCTAGTCTTGGTTAGATGTGGCTGCAACATAAATTTGTCCAAGCATGCTCTGGTCTTTATCCTACAGGAAGCAGCTGCAAGTATTTAAAGACTTTCACATGTTAAAGTAGTATTTAAAGCAAAGTAAGCAGTGGAAAGTTGTCAAATCAAAAAAAAAAAAAGTTATAAAATCGTTAAGTTATTTCCTAATCATACTAGATGAGTTAAACAACATCTAAAGCACAATATTTGTTTAAAATCCATTTTCCCTTTTTTTGATGTAATGGTTACAATAACAAAGCCAACTCCATGTTGCTTTTTATTACAAAATAACACGTTTTCTGTGAAATTCTCAAGTTACTCAATACTAGCTAAAGTCAAAAAAGCATACAATTAGAAGAAATTTGTATCAGGTTTAACAATATAAATTGAAAAAGTTGGTTTTGGTTTACTGTGCTTTTTGCTAATGATTTTGAATGTTAGTGCCAGGCACAGGGAATCAAACCTGTCATGTTTTAATAGGTTTCATGCTTTGCAGCACTAAACAAGATGATAACCTTGGCTCCTTATAACAACCCCAAATTACTTGAAATGTATAGGTGATAAACCCAGGCTCTGGTCTGCCAATACAGTTAAGTGAAATTGCACAGAGATCATCAAAGTGGGATCTCATTTCATTTACAGTATCGCACAATCCAGTGGTGCTAATGTAAAACCTACATGACATGAAAGTGTCAAGGCCACTCAGCACTGCTAAAGGCTCACTTTTCTCCTACCAATTAGGCAATATTTGAAGTGCAAAACCATGACCACATTTTCTTTACTCTGGTAACTTTATTGGTAGAATTTTGTTAAAAAAGACCACTTCCAAGGTGTTTTTTCAGAATGCTGTCTTTGATTACAGTTGCTGCTGAGAAAATCTTTAATCCCACCATTTAGAAGCATTATTGAGAAGTATCCTCTGTCTTCAGATGTTTCAAAATTGCTTTTAAAGTGAAGCCATTAAAAGGAGCAGTTTTCTGTAACAGAAATCAACTTGCCTTTCAGAGGTAACCATAGGAGCAGAGCTGGAATAGTGTGTCAGGCCCAATCCTGAAAAAGGCTAGTGCACAATACCTGGTAGATGTCTTTTCCTCATTTTACCAGACACCCTGCAGCATCCCTAGAAGTAGCAGAGAAAGGTAGACTGTGACAACACAGAGTCTAAGAGCACTAGACTTGTAACCATCCACTTGGTACGAGAGGACTTGCACAGTGCATTTCTGGTATAGAAATGGACAGAGACACATCCATGAGTGCCACGTTCTTAAATGGGACACAGTCCCTCAGATCAAGTGTTCAGAAATAACTTCTTGAAAAGCAGCACCAGGGTGACATTTTAACATACCTGCAACTACCAGCCTCAGATGTTTGGGCTTTCCTGCTAGAAGCTTCCAAAATCACTGGGAAAAAAAAAGTGGAACTCTGGAGTCCAGTAAAGAAAATTTACATCCTGCACTCATCAGCTTCCATAAGCTTTTGTAGGGACAGATACATACAACAGAACATTCTCTTCATTGTTGCTGTGGCCTTCCTTTCTTCTGCTTTCTTGCACCTCTGAAACAGTGAACTCCTTTTTATGCCTTTCTATTCTGCAATATTAAGTTATTTATCTGCATATACATGTAAGTGTATGACAGTCTTTGCTGTACTCCTAATATAGTGTTGTGGTCATGGATTAAACAGTTGCTGCTCAAGAGAGCCTTACTCTGCATATGGCTGATGAAACTGGGTTTTAAGAACCTCTGGAAGGGAAGTTGCTAAATGAATTATACTTGAACATCAACCCTTTCCCATATAAAAACATTCTAAATTTTGCAGGTGGTATTTGGTAAGGGTTTCTGAGTGTTGGCTAGGCTCTTTAAAATCCTGGTAGGTGCTTTTAGTCACTTTTTTTCATCACAGATTGGTTATTTGCTTTTGAAAAAAAATAAACTTGTTATGTGTGACTGTCAGAAATAATGCTAGGAGGGTAGAATGCACAGCTATTAAACTGAAAGACTTCAATTTGTTTACTCCTGTTAATAAAATCATTGCTGAATTAAACTATTTGTATTGCTGCAGCTAATTTGATTAACAAGACAAATTTGTTCAGCCTCATCAGTGCAGTGTTCAGAAGCCTGATAGCGATTAATCATAGTTCATTTTTCCCCCAACATTCATAAACAGTCTCTGAGATTGCCTAGAATCAACATAACTGTTTTTATACTTTATTTCTCTTTCAGAGGTGCTGTGAAAAGGGTGGTGAAAGCAATGAATCAAATGGACCAAAGGAAGCATGAGAAGTTTGCCAACCAGTTTAACTATGCACTGAATTAAATTGTAATAAAACAAAGGGGAAGACAACTAACAAGATTACAACTGCACAAAACCTTTAGCGCAGGCCTTCACCTTTAAACTAAAATATGGTGCTGTATGTATTTTTACTGGGGTTATTTTTTAAATTATTTTCAACTTCTAATATATTTTATAATTAACATGAATTTTGCAAAGATATGGTGGTATATCATTGAATGCATTTAACAAGTTGATAATTACTTAAAATGTACATGAAATAGAACTTATTTTATGATTTGCACATACTCTGAATAAAATGGTCAGTTTTTTTTTTTTCCTTCTTAAGGGACTCATGTAATTTATACCTTGGTTGTCAGCATGCGTGTTGTAATTTGTCTTGACTTTCATACCTTCAGAAAGATACCTTAGAAACAGTATCAATTTAGATTTTTTTAAAATGAGAGTTGGCAACACAGGGAATACTTGCTCAGCCTACTATTCTAGAAAGAGCACCACATCAAGCAGCCCTCTAACCCCTGCAGTACCTTTGAAGGCCTCTTACATACATCGGAAGAAAGATGCCGTTCAGTTGATATCTTCTGATAGCAAAAGGAATCAAGTTGGATTCCAGCAGGTCCAGGAGCTAATTCAAATTCAGTAGCTGTGGCACCAATGTAGAAGCTGAACTGTTGAAATTAATCCTGGTCTGCCTCTTGTCTTCCCAAGATGTTCTCCCAATATCTTTCAGAACTCAATCTAGAAAGCTCATTATGAGAAGTTATGGAGATATGGGGACTATGCTGGGGATTAAGTGATACCCAAAAAAACAAAGCTGCAGTACAAAGTGAAAGTAGGAAGTTTTTAAAAAAATTACTTGTGTGGCTTACTGCACAAGTGAACTGCTTGCCTTGTATTGTTGGGATCCTGTGCTGATAACATCTAAGCACCCAAATACAACCACAACTCTCTAGACTCCTCTGACTCCAGAGGAGTAACACACACATCTAAATTGAGCAGCTGGATCCAACGTGGCTTGTTACTGGCTGAGTACTCAGTCACATCTCTCACGTTTGCTTTACTGGCTCTAGTCATGTCTGAAGTGGAGTGAAACAAACATTGACCAGTTGTATTCTGTATTATATGTGGGTTTCATACAGCTTTATGGGTGAAGGAAATCAAGAATATGAAGGAGGGTAGTGTATAAGAAATTAAATATTAACTTTCAGTAAAACACAATACAAATTAGAAAAGTTTCTCTGCAGCACTGGGTTAGGCACTTACCTGTATTTGAGGTGTTTCCTCATGCATAAGAGTCTGTAAGAATTAAAATAAAATCCTCAGTGTAGCTTATGACAGTAGTTAGAAGGAACAATTTACAGCTCTGCCAAGTACCTCTTGATTTGAGCAAGTACTGCTGAGAAAACAATGTTTACTCTTGATAATTTATCTTGCAGGTCTTTACAGTTTGGAAGATATTCTCCAAAACATATATAGAAATATACTTCTAAACTACAACAGATAATAAATAGCTAGCAGCTGTTTAAGCAGGAATTTCAAAGTTATTTACCACACTGGAAATCAGAGCCATGTCTACTAGCTGTCTAGCTAACTTGGCAACGAAGGCTGCAGGTGAGAGCATAGTCAACAACAAACCATGTTCATCACCAGGTCAGTTGTATCAGGTGCTAAATTGATTGTATTTGTTAGCAAAGATAAACAAAAAAAGGAACACCACCAAAAAAAGGTAAAGCTGACACACTTGAGTGCAATGTAGATCATTGGATGCTGATATTACACAATAGTGGCTCTCATGAATAGTTATTCCACCATTCCAGAGATTTGAGCCTGCACATAGACTGAAGGTGTTAATTTTAAAAGATATGTTTTTGCTCCTGTCTGTAGGAAGAAAGAGGAATTTATATTGTGCACTGACACTTATCCCTTTGTGGGCATGAGGTGTCAGCACTATAAAACTTCCAGCAAACAGGTATACTTCACTGCAACTCAGATTTTCCCATTTTGTGTTTTTTGTTTAAAAAAAAATAAAAAACAAGATTTGGAAATTGTAGAAATCTGAGAGAAAGTAGTATGCTTAAATAATTATGCTCCTTTATAATGCTACTCAGCGTCACATAGTTCTAGAATTATCAACTGAAACTTCTTATCTGGACCCAATTTCAAAGGCAGCAGTTAAACCTGATCCTAGTGGGTCAGCTGCATGTTTCCTCACCTCCCATCTTCCTTAATTAAGGCACACACATACATGTACATTCTTCTAGATTGCTTCTCATGCATAAAGGCAGTTTGCAGAATTAAGGTTTCCCAACAACAGACCTGAGCTAGCTAACTGTAGCTCTGCTGGAGAAAAAAAATGTAGAACAGCATCTATCACCAATTATCCACTACACCTTAATTGAGCAGAAATCCTTTCAACTTTAAAGGGATCAAATCCTCCTTTTAGAGGTATCAGACCTCTTTGTGCATCACAGCAACTTAGAGATTTCAACTTAGAAATTTCAGGTTTCATGATTCTGAGCTGAACACCCTTTCAAACATCTTAGTCTGTGACTTTTCTATTGGAAACCTCCCTACTCCTGTCTTATAAGCACCAGGGAAAAAAAAAGGAATTGTCATTCACATTATCTCTGGTGTTTATTTTTGTCATCATAACTCTCTCAAATACCTTTGCAATGTACCATAACGTACTCCTACTTACTGGAGATACTTAATATGATTTTCAGGTACCTAAACACCTTGGTTGATTTGACCCTTGGTTTGTGTCATCTGGGTGTTATTACAATGAATAGCTGTAGTACAGGTTTAATTTTCTATATTTCTAAAAGGACACAATAGCTCTGAGCTGGAGCGAGCTATGCTGACAAGTCTAAGGCATCCTTTTCTAAGAGTGCTGTTTCAGTGGTAAAACAAGAATAGAAAGCAAAGGCTTCTCCAGTTTTTCCTACTAGAGCACGATTGCATCTGGGAAGTAAAAACTTGCAGGGAAGAAGCTGTATAGCATATTTAAATTTAGTGCTGTTTAAGGTTGGAATGAAGGTTCTGGCTTTCTGATACATAGCACATAGTGAGTGTGTACTGACATGAACAAACCTGGTATGAGGCCTGTGAGCAGGGCACATGCTCACACAGATTCTGAATTAGAGGGCATGTACTGAGGGATTGCTCTTAAGTTACTGATAGAAAATATTCATATTAATCTCTTACATGATTCCTTGCAATTTTATTATCTCTAACCGTACGTTAGGCATGTTAACAATCCACGTCTGGTTGAAGACCTCTACTGGAAAATTAGAACCCTTAAAAGCTCTTAGAATTGTTCTTTAAAAGACTTCTTAATTATGAAAGAAAGACTTTTCCACTTAAGCCTAATAAGACCCAGGAGGAAAGGGGGGAAAAAAAAAAGTATGAGCACTTAAGAAGGTTTGATCTGATATGTATTTTCACAACATATAACACCAACCAAATGCATGGCCTTAAGAAAATCACTCTTTTTAAAGAGGCAGTGGGAATCATAGTGCCCTTAGTGGCTACAGTGCTGGAGCACACAGAATGAAGGTGAAGTTCCAGGTCCTTTCTCAGCCCAGAAGGTGTAACAGTCACATATCTTGCTGTGGGAGACAACCCAAGCCACAGGCAACTAAATGCAAAGGAACTAGAAGGAAGCAATTCTCATCATTTGTTTTTCTGGGACAGGGGGCCTGAAACTCAACCACAGTGGACCTAAAAATACTTTGTGTAGGAGACTAGACGAGGCAAAAAGAGCCTTCTAGACTACAGCCCCCAGGCTGGGGCAAGGGAGGACTGGAACCTCATTCTCATTCCCTGAGCATCTACCATGAAAAACATTGCTGAGCTTCACAAATTCAGGCAAGAGCTTGGAGTTTGTTCATAGCAATTTTTGTTACCAGCTAGATCAGTCCTAATGACCTGCTGGACACCAGCATGAGAGAAGGGCATTACTCTGTCAAATACTGGAAACCAATTTCTCTGTCTCAGTACGCAATGGGACAGCTACATTTAAATGAAACAAAACAATATCCTGCTCCTGGGAGAAAATAACATCTGAGTGTGTGTCTGGAAACAGGAAGGAGAGTCCTACACCAAGTGCTACCCAAGGAAAATTCTACAGCACTAAGAGCACACAACAAACCATAGCACACCAAGGAGTAAAAGACAGGACAGAGGCTCTAGGCATTGAGGAGAAGTGAGCCAGGAGCATAAAGTGACAACAAGGCAGGAAGGGGCAGTGGCCTTCCTGATAAGAGGCACAATCCCACAGCACCCAAACAAGAAAACCAAATTTGGTGACAGCAACAAGAGACAGCCAACAGTTAGCACTTCCCTGAAAGTCCACGTCTACCAAGATAAAAGGCAGGCCCAAAGTCAAGTCAGCAAGCATAGGTAAGGTACAAAACTAAGCACACCTCCTCCACAGCGCCAGCAAGAGACTTCACCTAAACACAACTTCCCCACAACCAACCAAAGGGCAAAGGCCCCAGCCCAGGGCTCTCCCAGTTTAGTAGGTTTCATGGCAGTCTGAGCCAAGGTCTTGCAGCTGTGTCATATCAGTGCTGACCTCAAACACCTGGCAGGGGCTGGGCTGAGGATACCAAGGAGGATTCCAGAGAAAGCTGGAAAAAGAGAGAAACTGGAGCCTGTTGATACATTCAGAGCATCTCTCTTAAATTCACGTGGTGGCAATCGTTTCTGTTACAAAATCCTCTGCAGATGCTGAAGGACTTAAGAAAGAGGGTAAGAAGCACCCTAAGCTAAGAGCTCCAGGACTTTAAATCAAGACCAGTGTGGACCTTCCCTATCCAGCAGCACTGGTGACCCTTTCAGCTGGGATTGACACTAGAGACCCCAAAACTTAGCACATCCCCTAGAAAATGCACACTGGTGAGAGCTGGGTCTGTCTAACAAATGGACAAATTGTGACCTGTGGGGCAATGCTATCGGGCAATTATTGCCCTTCAAGCTGCCAGAGATGGATGCTGCTTCTGAAGAATAAGAAAGAGAGAAAGCTATTAATTGTTCAGGTTTCTGGTTGATGCTTTCGCTCCTCTTCCTCTACTTCAGAACTGATCAAGCAGAGAGATAAATGGAATCACGCCCCTGTTGAACTTTTCCTAGCAGCTCGGCTGTTGCTGATCATGGTACTTTAATGCCTGGCCCTATGCAAGCCAGGTGCTGTGCACAGCTTCTGCACATAGATTCCTCTGAGGCTGGTGGACCTAAAATGACAGCACTGATATGGGAAAGCCACATTTTGTATCTCGTCCTTGCAGCTTTCCAAGAGCAGTGTCTGCAATGGAGGAGGTTTCAGATCCATTGCCTTCTGTACTTGCTAGTACAGGGCCTAAATGTAGAACCAGTTTAGGAGAAGGTGCTGGGGGCAGGTCCCTGGTGTGCTGGGCGACGTGCTCATACATTTCTGTGGTAGCTTCAGGAGTTGTCTCTGTCAAGGGGTTAAGGAAAAAGCTTATTAAAATTGTTTAAATGTGGTGCTAATTAGTTTAGCTGTAATGGACAGCACTAGGGGTCTGGTTACTTTGCAAGAGATTGCTGGATAGCCATTTCTGCCAACAGTCCAATTTGCATAATGACAAGGTGCTGGCATTGCATCCACCATTAATTTGCTATATTTATGTCATTATGGGGCTGCTCTGATCCTCACAGTCTGTAAAAAGTATATGGAAATGTAATATAGGATTCTGCTTGCTTGGAAACTGCTTTTGGCTATCTTTGATTTTTTTGTAATCGTATTTTTGTTTAAGTCCCAAAGACTTTTCTTAATTGCAAATCTCAAATGTTTAGCAGTTCATGATGCAGCTTGCTGTCTGTCAACACAACCAGCTGAAACAACCCTACAAGCAGCCCACCAAAATGCTCTCTTCCTGCATTTCTCTTTCCCTTACGCAGTTTTCTGGGATCCAAAGCAGAAGAAATAAAGTTATGGTATGGATGGAAGGATGGGAAAATGTCCCTTTATGCTCAGCTGTGTAGATTTCTGATGCTCTGATATCCTCCTGCATTGTTTTGAAGCTTGTTCTATATGAATTCACATCTCTGCTAGAAGGTATCGGACAACTAGAAAGAGCTCATCTGGGTTATTTGCACTGTGACAGCTGTCATTCTGTCCCCCTGAGATGTCTGTGTAGTGTGACCGTGTGTTGCAAAACAGGGTGGTCAGAAACAAACAAAAACTTACAGAAGTTCACCAGGTAGAGAAGAATGTAGTTTATGTGAACCCACTTTGTGAGACAAACTGATTACAATCCCATTTGTTTACTTACCTGTCCCCTTCATTTTCAGTGTCCACTCTGATCTGTGCCTTGGTTTAAATCCCAAAGTCTGGCACATCTTCATTTTTTATCACAATATGATTTAAAGAAAAAAAATAAATCTTCTTTTACTTGTTCTGTGAGGCTCTATAACAGCCACACTTTCTTGCTTACTCTGTGAAGCAGAACCTCCACCAGAACTGTCCAGACATTGTAAAATGACATTCCTATGACTATTTCAATTAAATACATCTATGTTTGAGCAACATTCCTTTATATCTGTAACACGAGTTCATAGATAAGTATATTTGCCAATAGGGCAGACACGGTGTATTTTCAGGAAATGGTTTAGGTTCTTAAAGACAAAACTTTATTTTTAACATTTTGCTTACGTAGTATAAGAATAGAAACATGAAATATGACTGAATTCAGCCCAAAACAAAAAGTCTACAATATGTATGAAAACAAAAACAAATAAACCAAAAATTCACCTAAAACCATAACTCTCTACAACCACCTGAAGATCCTGCCCAACCTGCAATTAACACCAAAACAGTTTTTTGGGGGTGGAATATAGAGTGCTGTTTTCCAATGATTTGGAATAATATGGACTAATATGGACTGTTCTGTGTAAGCAATGAGACAAAATATTTTAAAGTAGTTTCAAATATCTCCAAATCAATTGGAACATATCTGCCTGCATTTATGTGATTTTTCTGTTCCTTTAATGGTAAGAAGATTTACTGCCATTTATTCAGTAAGCATAAACTACTGAAATTTGTTGTTCAGTATAAGTTAAAAATATTCAGAACAAAGTAAAATGGACCCATTTTCCTTCTTTTTCTATCTAATTCTATCATAAACACAGTGGATAATGGTAAGATTACACTACATAGGCTTGCACCCTTGGATTTAACATTGACTTTGTGAGAATTAGTTCAAAAATGTGCTGATGATCCCAAGTCTTTTTTGGTAGAGGCCAAAGGCTTCAACTGAAAACATTGAATCAAACTCTGAGTGTGTTACCTGGTGTATCTCAGAAGAGTTTGTCCTCTAGCAAATGCTCTGTCAAATGCCCTGTGAATCCTCTAAGTTTTATGAATGAATAATAAAGTCATTAAAAAACAAAAAACAAACACAAACAAAAAAACTCACAGAATGAACCACAGCAACCACCTGCTGCTTGTGCCCTGGAGAAATAATCATCTTGCTTTCAGTTAGTAGATTGTACTCATGCTGTACTAGGGTCTCTGCTAGGGGTTAGCATGGTTTGGGGCCTTTTATGACTATTCAGGGGGATCCCTGTGGTGTGATAACCTCATATTGCTGAATCAAGCCTACAGCTTGTTCCATTCTTTTAGAGAGCCAGAGGCAGGGACATAAGGTGATGGAGTTAGGACATTCAGGCAGGTGGGAGCACCTTTAGTGCACTGGCTGCTGTACATTCAGACCAGGGATATTTCGGAATAACAGCCCAGTGCTGATGCCATCAGGCGCCTCACTGACAAGCATACAGCCTGGTTACAGGGCAGTAGTCCAGGGAGCACCGTCTGAGAGCTCACTCTTTGGTGCTGCTCATACTCACACCAAATGCCCTCTGCATGTGGGCAACGTCCTGTGACTTGAGACCGAGCCCACGGTGTGCTCAGCACTGCTGCACAGTCCGAGTGCAGGGGAAGACGAGCTGCAGCTAAAGCTCTGCAGTTCTCCTATTGACTTCTGCAAGCAGAGGATCAGCTGGACGAGACATTCAAGCAAGAATTATCAATAACTTCCTAAACTACGCTGAGAAAGATATCTGTGAGTTTGTTTTCAGCACTGCTGTAAAATATGAGAAGCCTTGTTAAATCGAGTTTAATGACTAGGAATCTCAGGCTGCCTTCTTCATCCAACAGCTGTGAGCTGTAACACTCACACGAACAGGTTTCGCTGGCAGGACGCTAACTGACTTGAGCAGGAAAATCATCTGCTGAACTCTCCGAGCATCCCCCTGTTGGAGCTGGAATATTTTCTGCCAGGAGTTCGCTGTGTGTAGACAGGCTTTGATACGAAGCTGGGTCATGCCCCAAATGAGCTACGAGCAGGAATGTTCATGGTGTTTGCTCAAACCTGGGCAGCAACAGGGTAGTTTTACAGCACAGAAGAGCATCCTAAGCATCCGTTTCCCTGTTCAGATTTTTTCCCTACAGGTAAAAGCCACGGAAAGCCGTGCTCTGAGCAGCACTCGTAGCATTCCCCCAGAAAATTCACTTCAGATCTGTTAAAGCAAAGGCAAACGAGTCTGCTGGGAGCCATCTGGCATTTGCACGGTCCTAAAGGAGGGGAGGTGGAAGGGAGCGGGGATACCCACAGCCTGCCGGGGCCTCCGGCCAGAGAGGCGTTCAGCTGCTCCATCCCCGTGCCCGCTAAAATGACTCGAGAAAACGCCGGTTTCGTGAAATCACCCCGGGAAAGCGACGTTTCTGGGCTGAAAAACAAAAGAAACGGGAAAGAAACAAAGCAGAGATGGGAACAGGGAGCTTCTCCTCGGCGGGAGCTGGGGGGTCCGCCGGGCTGGGGGCTGCTGGTGTGCAAAGCAGTCAGCCTTTTGTTTGCGTTGCAATTAAGGAAAAAATAAAATAAGGATTGTGGAAGGTTGTGAAAGCAGTTTCCAAATAATCGGCGGAAGTGCCGTGGAAAGATTGCTTTATTTTTAAAGCGCTGGGAACTGAAGGGAAGAACCGCTTTGTTAAATGTGCATAAATCCAAAACACCAGACTCGCCGTCTGCGGAAATAAAGAAGTTTATCTACAAGAAAATAAAAATCTTAATATTGCGTTAAGATTGGCAAAAGCAGTTAAGAAAATGCAATCACGGGAACTAAGCAGGGACGTGCCCTCTCCCCTAGAAGAATGAAGTTTATTTCTGTGTCAGAAACACACGGCGTGCTTCCAGAGTAAACGAAAAGAAAAACAAAAGCCTAACGCGGTACCTCGCTCCAGATGCCCCTGTGCCAGGCATTTTCCAGAGGGAACTTTTCCGACAAATTCCCGAAAATCAGCGAGACAGCACCACGGAGAGTCGCGGTTTCCTTCAAGTTTATTGATTGCGTTAAAGTGTTTTGTTTTTTGTTCTTTTTTTAGCAAAGTGCTTTCTGTATCATCTTTCGACCGTTACTCCCGCACCTTATACATTAGTTATAAAGTTAAAACTTTTGTAACAACCAGAAATATACAGAAATGCGGGACGTGAGGGGGAAAAAAAAGCCCACCCCGAGGGGACCGAGGGGGCCGGCGGCCGCCCCCTCTCCCTCCCCGGGGGCGGCTGCGCTTGAGGGCAAAAATAATAATAAATAACAAATAAATCGTGAAATCAGGCAAGGAAACGGCGCATTGTTGTCTCAACAATGCCGAGGGACAAGACTATAGTTCTCTGTTTTACCCTGAGAGTCAAATGGGTACGTAAGCTTTTTAAAGTCTTTTTTTTTTTTTAAGAGTGGCCAGACCGGGGGAAAATAAAAATGATTTTAAAAATAATAATAAAAGACAAAAACAAAAACACACAGCAACGGGGGACATCGTGGGTGGGGGAAATATATATATATATATATGTACAAGTAACGATGATTTACATCTACCACTATGTACAGGGGGGAGGGAGGCTTTCTCCCCACCTCACCCCAAAGCCCAGTATAAAAACGGGTCGTAGAAATGGTTGTGGGCGACGAAGCCGCCCGGAGGGGCTGGGAGCTCGTCGGTTGGCGACCGTTGTTGACCGTTGGCGACCGTTGTTGACCGTTGGTGGCCGCTGACCGTTGATCGTCCCCTCACGCTCGCTCCGTCCCCTCACGGCGGCCCCGTCGCCTCATGGCGGCTCCGTCCCCTCACAGCCGCTCCCCTCACGGCAGCCCCGTCCCCTCACGGCGGCTCCGTCCCCTCACGGCCAGCCCCGTCCCATCCTCGGAGCTTCCCCCTCGCACCCCCACAACCCCTCCCCGCACCCACCCTGCCGCCTGAGGCGGGTTTCCGTGGGGACTGCGGCGGGCTTATAGGTGCGGGGTGTAGAAAGCGGGGGCGCCATAAGTCTGCGAGCCCAGCACGAAGGGCGAGAGGACGGCGGGGCTGGGCAAGAAGGGCAGCTGGGCGGCGCACACCAGCCCCCCGGCGGGATGCCCGGCGTAGCTGCCGGGCCCGTGCATGGAGAGCGGGTTGCCCATGGGCGGCGAGTGGCTGAGGGGGCTGAGGCCGCCCCCTAAACCGCCGCCCCCCGCTCCTCCGCCCGCGCCGCCGCCGCCGGTGGGCGCGCTGGTGTCGGCGCCGGGGTTCTGCTTCTTCCACTTGGTGCGGCGGTTCTGGAACCAGATCTTCACCTGCGTCTCGGTGAGGCTGAGGGAGAGCGCCAGGTTGAGGCGCTCGCACACCGACAGGTACCGCGTGGACTTGAACTTGTTCTCCAGCGCCACCAGCTGCTCGTAGGTGAAAGCTGTCCGAGCCCGTCGGGGCTTCCCCGACTTGGAGTCCGAGCCCGTGCGCTTCCTCTTGGGCTTAGCCTGCTGCTGGCTCTGCTGCCCCCCGCCGGGCGCTGCCGAGGGAGGAGGCTGCTGGGGTTGAGGAGGGGGCTGCGGGGTGGCCTCGGCGTGATGCTGCTGCTGCTGCTGCTGGTGGTGATGGTGGTGGTGGCCCGGCTCGGGCTCTCCGGGAGCCGCCGAGGCGCTGCCGCCCGTGGCGGTGCTGGTGGTGGTGGTGCTGGTGCTGCTCTCCTCGCCGCACAGCTCCTCGTCGTCCTGCAGCTCGCTGTCGGGGCTGCGGCTCGGCCGGCTGCTGCTGCTGCAGTCCAGGTCGCACTCCTCGGCCTTGTAGAGCTCGCCGTCCTCCTCTGCAAACAAGGGACGAGGCAGGGTTAGGTCTCCGCAGTCCACCAGCACGGCCCCCGGCTCCCCCTGGGCACCTCACCCTACACCAGGGGTAAAGGGACAAGGCTCGGAGCTCCCTCAGCTCAAGAGCTGGCCCCAAAAGGTGGCCCCACAAAACACACACACCCCATCCGACCTCCCCCTGCAGAAAGAACCGGGGAGGGGGGACAACACACGACCTGCCCGGAGCCCCCCGGTCCCTGCCGGTTTGGCAGCGGGCCCCGGAGGTGGCACATCGCTTTTTTATTATTATTTATTTATTTTAACGCTTTTAGCTACAAAAATATCCGCCTCGACGGCTTTTTTTGGCTTCGGCGTTTTTAACCCTTTCTCCCCCTGGCTTGACCTCTCCCGACTTCGCGAGGTGGAAGTGCTAAAGTGGAGTAAATGCTCGTATTGATTAGCGGAGCAGATGCAAACTTAATTAAACTCATTTCGCGCGATGTAGAAACTAGTTAACGGGCATTTAATTTATTTGGGTTTATAGGACGCTCCAATTAACGGGTCTCCATCGGAGAACAAGGTAATTATCCGATATTTAAGCCTGTTGGACTTTCTCCTGACGGTTCTGTCGTGTTGAAGCCGACAAGAACCCAGCGTCGGCGAGAAAAGCGGCTCCTCTGGACCTCGGGGGGAACCGGCAGGCAAAGAAATGCTCTCCTCATCCTGCCCCCGAAGTGCCGGCCGGGGTCGGAGGCACCTCGGGCAGAGGACCATCACCTCGGCCCTTTTGGTCCGGCTGACTCAGGCACTCTCCAACTTCTCTCTGCTCGCACCCGCAGCTCCGGGAGCTCCCCAAGCTCGTTGTGGTTACCCGAGGTACGCGCAGAGCAAGCGACCCGCTCGTCTGTCGCCCTCATCCCGTGTGCGCTTCTGTTGGTTTTAATCCCCCCCCAAACTCCCCAAACCATCGCACCTCAAACTTGGTCCGCATCCTAACGCCGGACAGCCTCTAGATAAGATTAGGAGTGTTTTTAAAAAGTGTGTTTTGTTGGAGGAACTGGTTTGGGCTAACAGCAGATACGGCTGGCTCACTAGGAGAAAAAGAGGCAGAGAAGTTTATCATAATCCTCTTCACCCCAAAATATCCCTTAACGACGCGAGTTTATCCAATCTTTCCAGCTTGCTGTTCAAACCGGCAAACAAAACCCGCACAACCACCACCTCACGGACCCGGGAATGGGATCAGCTTTTCCCCGATCCCACACACCGTGTGAAAACGAGCATCCCCAACCTGTAGCACTTGTTATAAATTGTTGTGCACAATTTTTCGCAACAACAATATATAAAAAGTGCGTGCAGATGACTCTGCGGGACCCGGGATGAGCGCAGCGCCAGCGCCCTAGCGAACAGGGAGCGTGCGGGTGATGTTAAAACAGTTTAATTTTTTGAGTTTAATTTTTTCCCCCCAATAAACTGCAGGAAATCCCAGCCGTGGCTTAATTTAAGAGCTTACTAAAATTTTCTTGAAACAGAAAAATGTAGCCCAAATACATTTGCTGATTGGGATTGACGCTGAAGGTGCGATTTTGTATATGGAAAATGTTAAATGCCAATTAAATACGGAGTTTTAACTTATTGTTATCACTTAGTTTTACGAGCGACATGTGACAATCTCTGATTTCGCTCTCCTTTTGCCAGAAAGGCTTCCCATTTCGGGGTGTTGGCACTTTGCCGGCCGGAGCTACTTTTCGAAACACTTCTAAATTAAAGCACCGATTGAACTAGCGTTAATTACGATGGGGACATTAAGTTTCGTGATTTTCGGGCAGTCACAGGTCTCTTCGGGACTGCTGCCGCTTTACATGAAATTAAATGTCAGGGCTGAAGGGCCGAAGCATGCGAAGCGCCTGGGAAAGTTGTCAGTGCGCGGAGCGCTGCTTGCTGATGGCTCCAAATATATTTGGGTGTAGAGAAGCGATAGAGTTGCATTTCTCTCCTTGTCTGGAGATAAAAGTGCAAGATTAGCGATAGGCTGACCTCGTCAGTCTTTCTGATCGCACAGATCTATTTAGTATGACAGAAGCCGGATGGGTTTAGACAAATAATTACCCCAGGTAGAGACCACTTTTAAAAATCTCTCTTGAATTCTATTAGCGCTCCGCTCCTGCTTTTGCTTTAGAAATTTAAAACTTCTACATTTCACGAGGCTCGGGCTGGAGGAGATTTCAGCCCTTTTTTTCCTGCTTGATTTTAAATGAAAGAGTTACGCTTTTTCGGGATCGGGGAGAGCAGAGTCCTCCCTCTCCCGCCCCAGAGACAGAGAAATTATTTTCCCCCTTGCGAGAAGTTTATCCTCGGCCCCTCGCCAGCTCCTTCTCCCTCTCGGGGCACGGAGCAGCCCCAGCTATTTCTCCTGGGGGCTGGCTTTTCCCGGGAGGGCTCCGCTGTCCCCAGAGTCGCGGTGTTTAGAGGTGAGAAAGTTCGGATATTTTGGACCCAAGAAAGAAAAAAGCAATCTCGAGCTTGGGTCGAATGCAATTCCCGATCAATAGCGAGCCCTAATAAGTGTAATAGGTTTTAATCGAGTAATTATCCGAATTTTGACCCTATAATTTAGATGTTAGGGAAGAGTTTGCAAGGTGCTTGAAAGAGATATGCACAATTCGATAATAGGATATCGATCCAGGCAGTCCTACATGCCACTCTGGGGCGATTTCCCCCATTATCCAGCCTCTTTACGCTGCTAAGCACATTTTACCTTAAATGTAATCGAAGGAATTTAATTGTTTTTCCAGAGATAACCAGCATTTTGTCACAATTAGTCTGATTTGTCCTAAAAAAGCCAAGGGGAGAGAGAAAATTGAATCTGTCGCCCAGAGCAACGCGCGGAGGAGGGGGGAAGGAGGAAGGGGAGAGCGGCTTTGAAGGCTGCGAAGAACATGGAGAAAAGTCATAAATGCCTCGGGAGAGGGTCAGGGGGGCTGTGGGAGCAGGGTGCAGGAGGGTTTGGGACCGCAGGAGTGGGATGCGGTCCCTTGTCCCATCCCCGGGCCCTGGCCCGGTTCCCCCGGGGCCGGTCCGGCTGCTCCCACGGCCCCACTGTGTCCCTCCCCGAGTTCCCAAGGAGGAAAACGGGTCCCTAAAAGCATGCCAGCCCCTTCCCCAGGCTCCCTTTACCCCCCATCCCGAGGGGCTCGGGGTACCCCCAGCTACTTACTGATGAGCTCGGCGGACTTCTTGCACGCGTCGAAATCTTCGGCGAGAGCTTTTTGCTCGGCCAGCTCCGTCCCTGAGTCCTCGGGCTTATCCTCCGCCCCCAGCGGGAACTGGGCTCCCCCCGATTTGTACAAGCCCCCGCACTGCCTCCTCTTGCTGTTGAATTTGTTAGGGTCCAGGATGTCGAGCACGGAGAAAGAGGTGGTTCTGTGCACGGCGGGCAGGGCGCCCGCTGCCCCCTCTTGTCCGGGGGTGTTGCTCTGCCCGTCCCCTTGCCTGTCCCTATTTCCAGGGCAGGAGTAGAGGGGCAGCTCGCCGCCGGCCGACAGCCGCTGCTCCCCGTGGCTCTCCATGCCTTCCCCGGGCAAGCCGCAGGGCTCCCCGCCGATGCCAAGCGAGGCTGCGGGGGCTGTCACCGCCGCGGCTGCCGCTGCCGGGATGGAGATGTCACCCACCTTGTCTCTGCTCACGTTCATGACTCTTTGCAGAGCCCCTCTCGGTTGCAACTTCTCCCCCCCACCCCCCCCTTCCCCTCCTCTATTTTTTTTTTTCCTCCCCCCCCCCCCCCACCTCCTCCTCCTCCTCCTTCCTCCGGCGAAGTTGAGCTGGAAACTCCTCCCCGGCCCCGCTCCGGCAGCTCCCCGGGGCTGCTCCGAGGCCAGCCGGGGAGGCCGGGACTCACAAGGTGATGCTGGGCTCCGAGCCTCCGCTCTGCTGCTCCTTCTTCCTTCTCATCATCCTCACCGGGCTGCCCAGGCACTCCAGCCCCCCCCCTTCTCTCCTTCCCTCCCTCCTCCTCCTCCTCCTGCTGCACACACACGGAGGCAAGGCTGGCTCTTATTTATGCATTCATATTTAGCACCGGCTCGTAATTGGCTACAAATTAATCCCTCGCCCGTAATAGTCTGCAATCTTCATCGCTGGGAGAGAGAGAGAGGCACGGTGAAAGTGTGCGCCGGGGGGGGGGGAGGAAGGGGGGCAGAGGGAGAGAGCGAATGAAGGATGGTGCTGGCCGTGATATACTTCGCTGTCAGCTCTGTTTCAGCACACCTCCACTCATCTGGAAAGCATCTAAATAGCCTTATTTGGCGAAGTGGGAGGAGATGACGCTTTCTTTTAAATAATTGCGGGATCAATATCAAGAAGATATTATAGGGGCGAAATGAGAACTTGAGGGCTTCCATCCCTGGCAGGGAAGTTAGGTGATCAAAGGGGATTGTGTGTGCGTGGGGGGCGGGGGGGTCCGAGGTGTCAGCCCCCAGCACCTGTTTCCCTTCCCTGCTGCTTTTATTAAATTAGAACAAAAGGAGAAAATTATGGTTTAGTGGCTGGAGCAAGGCTTGTGTTCGCGGACACGCACCCTCACACGCTCCCCTCCCTCTCTCTCTCCTTTAGCTAATTAATTAAAATTAAACATCAAATGTAAGTGTCAAGAAACCGCGGGGAGAAAATTAATATGTTAAAACGGCGCAAGGCAAAGCAAGGCGATCGATAAATTCCGAGTAACCGGGAGAAAAGGTGTGCTCCCTCCCTGTAGGAGGAAAGCCACAGCCAGAGCTAAGTTCCACTTCCAGAAAGCAAAAAGAAAATCCCTCTCTTATTAAAAGAGGTTTAATTACGGAAAATGAAGCAATGGGAATACGAATTAGCTGCGAATTGCAAAAGGCGAATTTCTTCTCCTACCTAATTTCCTTCCCCTGCGTGTTGTAGCCGGGTGTGCTTCGATCATATCAATTTCATTCTTGTTTTGGACGCTCCACTCGCTACTCAGTGTGAATTAGCTGCCAGGAAAAAAAAAAAAAAAAAAAAAGGAAAAAAAAAAAGGGGGGGGGTGTTAAGGAAAATAGAGAAAGCATAAAAGGAAAATTAGATTTTTTTTTGTCTTTGAGGCTGGTGACACATACAAGGACAGGTCCTTTGCAATTACCGCGGGCAATGATCCTTTAGAAAGCAGAAATTAAAAGTTGGGAGAAATAATGGGTAAAACAATCAGCTTGTAATTTTGGTAGGGCTTGGACATGATTAGTCCATCAGCGGGCTGGGCCCAGGGGAGTCCCGCTGAGCGGGAGCCCACAACAGCCCCCGCTCATATATTATACAGCAGCCCTTAGATTTTAATCAGACACCACAACAGTGTCCTTTCCCTTTTATGACTTTATTATGCTTTATCTTTAAATTATAAATCACCTCCTGGCTTGAAATGGTATGTATAATCTCTGATCATGTGTAGGTAATTACCTCTCCCCCTTTTCCTGACCTTACCGGCGGGGCTGCCGCGAACATCCAGCCAGAGCCAAGTTTTAATCTGCGTGTCCACACGTCTGCCGGTTTGTTTGTGGGCTCCTTTGGTGGTTTGTTTGTTTGCAGCTCCTCTTTCTCTCCTCCTCCTCCGGCCGTGTCTCCCACCGGCTCTCTTGTTTCGGATAATTTTTCCTCCCAGTGCTTCTGCCCGCAGATCTGGGATATTATTTAAGAAAAGGAGACGGTGGGTTAGGTAGATGCCAAGGGCTTGTCTTCATCAGATATGCTGCCGAAGTCACTTGCATTTGTACTTTTTTTTAATTATTATTATTATTATTTTGGAGGGTGGGGGGCGGTGGGGATATTTCTTATCTCTGGGGTCGGCAGACCTCAGCAGATTTTTATCTTAATTGCGGTTAAACCTTCCCTCCCGGTGGCCCGGCAGGGACAATCCCCACGGGGACGGAATCCCGGGTGGGTAAATGAACCCAAATTCCCGCATCGCCCTCGGTGCTTGCAGGAGAAGAAGCCACAGACGCGGGGGGCCACCCCACACCCTGCACCCCCTTTCCGATGTGCCCCCCTTGGGGGTGCAAACCCCACAAATGAAGGACCCCTTCCCGACGGGGCCCCGGCCCGCCCGGCGCTTTTGTTTGGTGGCGGCTTAAATCGAGTGTTATAAAGATGTTCTATTGCTCCTAATCACAATTGATTGTCAATTAGAGGCTCATTTGTGCAATCTCCATCCATCTGCCATCTCTGGTTATCTGTTCACCAGAAAGTTAGCGCTGATTCCGGGGCCCTAGATGAGTTGTGACATGCAATATCTCTCCCGTGCTCGGCCCGGGTGAGCGGTCCCGGCTCTCTCCGAGGGAAGGCAGCTCTTTCTTTCCATCTCTTGCCGGAAAAACGAGCAACAGCCTCCCTTTGGAGGCAGCAGGGAGGCCATCCAGAGGTGGGGAGCCCCAAATTTTGACCCCGGACCCCAGCGCACTTCGAGGCAAGGCTCCCACGGAGCCGTTCCCTTCTCCGAAATAAATCACAGAAAGTCGCCGAACGCCCTGGCGGCTTGACAAGCCTCCCTCCCCGCCTCAGCGATGGTTATCTCTGTACTTAGGCTGAATTATACCTGCGGGGAGGTGATATTTCCACGGCCCCGAGGCACCGCTGGCCGGAGCAGCTCCTCCGCCCTGCAGAGGCCACGGACTCCCCCGGGGAGGCCGCCTCCGAGGCCTCTTTTTTGCGGGGAGGACCCGCAGAGGGCTCTCCCCCCCTAGCCCTGTAAGGGAGGATGCTGAGCACCTCGTTCCCGGCTCCAGACGAGCCCAGCACCCTGCTGGGACCGAGCTGCCCCGGCTCTCCCCGCTGCTCCCCAGCCCCTGGCAGCCTCCAGAGCCGAGGCCTCCGGCTCAGGGCGCTCCGGGTTGGCGGGGCTCGGAGCCGAGCTCGGTTTTTCTCCTCGGGCTTCATCAGTTAGCACCGAATTTCAAATCAGATTTCAGCAAACTCCAGAGCAAGCGATCCTTTTTCTTTTTCCTCTTTTTTTTTTTTTTCTTTATTTATTTTCTTCCTTGATTTTTTTTTTTATTTGCTCTCCATCCCTCCCTCCCCGTCCCTGGGGAGCGTGGAACTCACTCCGGGTAATTACGGGCATTTATCGCCGCCGTGCACCAATTTAGCAGCCGGGAAGGTCACTCCGGTGGCTGCACCGAGCCTCCGAGGTCCCGGCGGGTCCTGCAGGCTGCTCTTCTCCCCCCTTTTATTCCCAAATGCGGCCGGGCTCCAAAACCCATCCCGTCCTGCTCTGAGCGGGTTCCTTCCAAATCATCACCATCGTCATCATCAGCACCATCAGCAGAAGCATCACCATCATCATTATTGTTGTTTTTGCATTATTATTATTATTATTATTATTATTATTATTATTATTATTATTATTATTATTATTATTATTATTATTATTATTATTATTATTATTATTATTATTATTATTATTATTCCCAGGGCTACAAGACCTGCCCCGCACAAGGCTCTCGGTCTCATCCTGCCTTGGTCCCCATCCCGGGGCCAGCAGTCACCCCGGGGTGCCCGGCCCTCCCCGAGGGAACGCCCCCCTCCGAGCTCAAGTCGGGGAATTAATTAACTCTACCCACGAAGGCAAATGATTTAAGGGGGAAAAAAAAATAAAAGATTCTGAAGCAGATCTCGCCCTCTATCAATGCAGTGTCAGGTCCTCATAGTAGAAGATTTAAAAGCCCTGGGGATTCCAGGTTAGGGTAGTAATGAGCTTAATTGAGGTTAATGCTTCCTGCACAGCTCCTTGATTATTAAATTAATATTATCACACACATGAATCATAATTAGAAGTTTAAATAATGCTCTAGGGGAATCCTCGGAGGATCTATTAAACAGTTCCCTTCTCTCTCGCCAGCTCCCTTTCAGCTCCCGGCAGCCCGGGGGCAGCCCGGGGGGCGGCAGGAGGTGGGTGCTGGGTGCTGCTGGGATGGGATGGCACAGGATGGGATGGGATGGGACAGTCCCCGGGTGTCACCCCCCCGGGGTATCCCCGCAGGGAGGGGGGCGGCAGCACCCGCGGTCCCTCGTCGCCCTTCAAGCCTCATCTCTGCGTATCCCCATTTAAACAGCCCATCATCCCCCCCCCCAGGTTTAGGCGCTTATCTCCCAGCAGCCGGGAGTTTATATAAAACACTAATAAAGTGCCTCGCTGTCACTTATCCCGGCCGGGAGATCGCTTTTTCACGCACATCGCGGAAAAGCGACCCGCAAGAGGCTGGAGGCGCGCCGCCCACAGCATCCCCGGCCGCCCACCGGGATGCTGGGCAAGGCGAGGGGGGGACGACAAGGGTGCCAAAAGCCAGGACCTGCAGACTCAGCCCCCGACACGGTCCGGAAAACCAGTGAGAAGCATCCCCGGGAATGGGGGACAGCCCTGCAGGGACGGCTTCCCCATTTCTGTCCCCCCCTCCCCAGGCTGGGGACTGCAGCTGCAATGGGGCCGTCCCGTTTGCAAAGCCCCCCCCTCAGGACACACGGGCGCTGCGGGGACAAACATCTCGTTTATTTTCGTATCGCTGATATTGCTAGTCCTAACGAAAGGGTCATCGAGGGTGGAAAGGGTGGTGGAGGGGGCACACGCTGCATCCACGGGGGCCGTGTGCGTGGAGGAAAAAATAAAAGAGAAATCAGATGGCTGGCACGCAGGCAGCGCTCTCTCTCTCTC